AGTTCTTCATAGTATCCTGATATTATCCTTTTTATTTCAGTTGGTTCTGTTGTGATGTCACCCATTTTTTTCTTATTCGTGTTATTTGTCTTCTCTCCCTCTTTTCCTTTGTTAAATTTGCCAGAGGTTTGTCAATTTTATTGATCTTTTCATAAAACCAACTTCTGGTCTTGTTGATTTTCTTCTATAGCCCTTCTTTCTTCTATAGCCCTTCTGTTTTCTGTTTCATTGATTTCTGCTCGAATCTTGCTTATTTCCTTTCTTTTGGTGACTGTAGGCTTTTCTTGCTGTTCTTTTTCTAATTGCTGGAGATGTTGTTTTAAAGTGTTGATTATGGCTCTTCTTTTTTGATGTGTGCATTGATTGCTATAAATTGGCCTGTGATCACTGCTTTTTCTGTGTCCCAAAGATTTTGGTATGCTGTGTTCTCATTCTCATTTGATGCAAGGAATTTTTGAATTTCGTTTTTTATTTCTTTTCTTACCCAGTCTTTCTCAAGGAGAGTGTAGTTCAGTTTCCATGTGTTTACTCTTTTCCTATTGATCTTCCTATTGTTGATTTCTAATTTGATAGCATTATGATCTGAGAAGATATTTTTGCAGTATTTCAATGTTTTTAAATTTGTTAAGGCTTGGTTTATGGCCTAACATATGGTGTATCATGGAAAATATTCCATGTGCACTAGGGAAGAATGTATATTGTGCTGCTGTTGGGTGAAGTGCTCTGTAGATGTCTATAAGGCCAAGTTGGTGGATTGATTTGGTTTGTTTTTCTCACTTCATTTACACTCCTGTCATTTTCGGGGAATATATTTTCTTCGTAGGGAATTCTTGTAAAACTGAAACTTACCCTTTTACAAGCAAAATTTATTTCATTATATCATGGTTTGTGTTTGTGTATTTAACTGTTTTTAGTGGCTTCATTGAGGTTTGGTTTATATATCATGTATTTTACTATTTTCAAGTATACAGTTAAAGGACTTTCAGTAACTTTACTGAGGCATCCGTGACCGTAAATCAGTTTTAGAACTTTTTCATCCCATCAGTAAGGTCCCTCGAACCCATATACAGGAAATCCCTTGGCTGCCTTCAGCTCTAAATAACCAGTAATCTACTTTTGTTATCCTAAATTTTTCTTTTTTGGACATTGCGTATGAATGAACTCACATACTGTGTGGTCTTTTGTGTCTAGCTCCTTTCACTCAAGATAATGTTTTTAAAGTTCATCCCCATTGTAGCATGTATGTTCGTTCCTTTTTAGTGCTGAATAATTTTTCTTGAGTGGACATAATACATTTTGGCTGTCTGTTCATCTGGACCATTTTTAAAATACAGTGTTTCTAGATCGAACAGACACTTGCAACTTTACTGTGTATGTTATGGTGCAGTGGTGACTAACATCATTTTTATTAGTTAATGTATTAATTATGTATTACTTATATTATGGTTCAATACTGTTATAATTTCACTCTTTGAAACTATGACTACATTCAAAAGCTATTGCTGTTTTAGTAAATGGACCTAGACTTTGAATTCTTGTAGTTTTTCCTTCCCTTTTGTCTGCTACCTGTTTTTGTTGTTATCAGTTTCCCTATCTCTAGCAGTCTTCCTGTAGCACTTTTGTTATAAGTAGTTCCTAACTGAATCCTAGGGATATTTCTCATGAATAATTTGAATAAAATGTGAACATTATGGCATTCCTTTTGGTTATTTAGAAACTCATTTGTGCTTTTCCAGTTGCTTAAGCTATTTTCCTGGCCCCTGTATATAAGAGGTGTTACTTTTCTGTTTTCAGAATCTGTTTTATTGATTCATCACTCTGCTGGTTCTTAGCACTTTGTTAGGTATTTGAGATACAAAAAAAAAACCAAAAAACCTTCCATTGTCATCAAATCGATTCTGACTCATAGCAACCAGATGGAACAGAACAGAACTGCCCCATAGTGTTTCCATCGCTGTAAATCTTTACAGAAGCAGAATGCCCCATCTTTCTCCCATGGAGTGGCTGGTCAGTTCTATCCACTGACCTTTTGGTTTGCAGCCAAATTCTGTAACTACTATGTCACTAGAGGTCCTTAATTTGAGATAACAAAAGAAGGCTAAATACTTGATGTGAAAGGGCAGTAGTAGAACATGACTAATATATCTTGACTAATGAGCATTTCTTATATAGTGATAAACATTTGCATAGTACTTTGGTAAAACTTTTTTTCATTTTAACCATATAAACATTTATCACATTTTCTTTTTTAAATGTTTCCTTGGGATTTTAACTAAGTTATAGTATGTTCTTTACTACAAAGACTTAGTAAAAGGTTTTGCTTACATGGTATGTTAAGAGAGAAAAAAGAAGCTTAAAAATTTCTATTCTTGAAACTTATTTTGTCTTTAAATTTCATTGATGTTAAAGGTGCTTCACAGAATGATGATGGTTCCAGGCCCAGGGATGAAACAAGGTAAGGTTTTTACTGTGATTATTTAATGTAGAATGCAACAAGAGACAATGGAAAGTTAATAAAGAGAAATCTTAGTTACAATTCAAGTTCAGAGTGAGGTAAGAATAAATTAATGTCAAAAGAATTGAGGGCTCAAGATAGGAAGGGAAATGTGTGAAAGATTCAAGACTCTCAGCTATAGGGAGTAAGCCATGAATATCCAAATTGCTAATGCTTCCTTTAAGCTTGTAGAATGTAAAATAGCTGGTACTCCTTTTGGCTTGTAGAAAATGAATATGTTGGTGTCTTTTCCAAAAGCTGGGAGTTTAGAATCTCAGGCCAATCATTTGGCTGTTAAGATGCTTTTCTAGAAAAACTGGGATATGAGCTTTGCATATATGCATGAAGGCCAACATTGACTGTAGTATCTTTTGAACTTTTATTAGGAGGGGTATAGTTTTGTACCAGCTGTCTGCTCTTAGCATAAGTTTAACTTTTTCATGTGCCTTTTTGCTTTGGTTTGTGTTGAATAACTTATCACACTTTAAGTGTTTACTTGTTATCCTGGAAACTGTTGTAATGGGAAATGAAGTTATGAAAGGGAATGGTTTTAAGTTTTTTTTTTTTGCGTTTATAAGAACAGAAATTTATTGTCTCACAGTTCTAGAGGCTTTGAAATCTGGATATCAGCCAGGTTGATTCCTTCTGAGGGAGGATCCATTCCATGCTTCTCTACTAGCTTCTGGTGGCAGCCGGCGATCCTTGGTGTTCTTGACTGTAGGTGTATCACTTCAATCTCTGCCTGCATCTTCACATGGATATTCTCCTTCTGTGTGTCTGTGTCTCTTCTACTTTTTAATAAGGACTCCACTTATATAGGAGCTCTGGTGGCATAGTGCCTAAGGCATTTGACTGCTAACCAGAAGGCTGGTAGTTCAAACCCACCAGCCATTCCTCAGAAGGAAGATTGGGCAGTCTACTTCCATAGAGAATACCACCTTGTAAACCCAAGGAGGGGTAGCTATGAGTCGAAACCAAGTCAGCGGCAGTGAGTTTTTGAGTTCCACTTATGTGAATTAGGACCCACCTGACTGTTGTGACCTCCTGTTAACTAGTAACATTTCAAAAACTGTTTCTGACCAAGGTCACGTTCACAAGTGCTGGGTTTAAGACTTCAGCATATCTTTTTGGGGAACACAATTCAGTCCATAAAGGAGGTTTGGGCAGTAACTGAGGCTTCCTGTAGTGTTCTGGTTACCTAGTGCTGCTTTGACAGGAATATACCATAAATGGGATGGCTGAGCAAACAGGAATTTATTTTGTTACAATTTGGAGGCTTTAAGTCCAAGTTCTTAGTGCCAGTTTCTAGGGGCTGGGTGTAAGCCCCTCAGCCTTGGACTTCAGCTGCCTTCAGCTCTGCCTTCAGCTCCTGGCCCCACTGAAGCCAGAGGCTTTTCTTCACTCAGACAGTTGCTGGCTGCTGAGGCTGCTAAGCACAAGGTTGACAAGTAAAAAGGCACAGTCCTAATATTAACAAACCACATGGCAGGCCATTCATTCAAGTCCACTGAAAGCCCCAAGGTTGGCAGAGCATGGCAGGCTGCTGAGTAATAATACAGCTACGTGCAGGGTTCAAGCCTGTCATAAGCTAGAGACCATTCACAAAGTTGCTGCTTATATACGGGAAGCAGAACAATCCCTAAAGCAGCTACTCAGCTGCTTGTGGTAGATCCCACCGAGGAGTTGATTGCCAGTCTCATTATGGGGAATAACTACCACCAGCTGCCCAGCCACTCAAACAGGCCCAACCAAGTTGACATACAACTTTTACAACCACATACAGCCCTTAGAATAAAGTCCAAATTCCTAACAGATGACAAGGCCCTCCCTTATAAGACCTCCACCTACATCTCATTTCTCACATTCCACCAACACCTATCCTCCTTTCAGTCTCAAATGTGGCATAGTCTTTGTCTCCTCTAAACTTTCTGTCTGGGCCACTTTTTCCTTCATCTTTACCTGGTAACACATCCTCCAGGTCTTAGCTTAGATGCCACTTCATTCAGGACATCTTTTCTGATGTCTTCCCCCATGCTAGATTTAGATGGACACTTCTGCCATGCGTCCTTATAATGAAGACAGGAACAGGGTCTATCTTGGTTACCTCATATGCTCCATGCCTGCAACATTGCGTGGGACATTGTTGTTAAGTTGTCATGGAGCTAGCCTCTGACTCATGGTGACTCCGTACTTGATGGAATGAGACACTGCTCAATCCTGCATCATCCCCATGATCAATTGCAGATAAGACTGTTGGGTTTTTAATGACTGATTTTCAGAAGATTTTAAGTTTTAAAACAAAAAAATTTTTTTTAAAAAAAAATGCAGTGCAATGGTTATAAAATACCATTTACTTTTTTGTTGTTCCTAAACTAGATAAGTAGTAGGTAAGAAGAAAAGGATGTACCAAAAAAGTTGCAGTCAGAGGGAAAGAGAATGACCAGAAAAACAGTGTCACAAAACAAAAACAACCCACTGCCATTGAGTCAATTCAGACTCATAATAATTCTTTGGGACAGAGTCGAATTGCCCCATAAGGTTTCCAAGGCTATGAGTCTTTATGGAAGGAGACTGCTTGATCTTTCTTCTGGGAAGTGGCTAATGGCCACAAACCACTGACTTTTTGGTTGGCAGCCAAATTCTTTAACCGCTATGCCACCAGAGCTCCTTAGTCTCATAGAAGGTACAGGAAAGATGTCCCGAAAGATGTTGCAAAGGAGGATGAAGCAAGTAGAGCAAAAGAAGCTGAGTTGATAGTTATATAGGAGTTTGTTGCACTAGACTATCTGCTTTTGTGATGGTTGGGAATTTTCATAATAAGTTAAAAGATAGCTCATCAATATCTTTAGGAAAATGAAAATTTCTAAAGCTATTGTGGCTTCAATCTAAGAGAGACCTATCTCCACAGAGTCACTCTTAAAGTGACAAAGAATTACCTCCTATACTAATCTCACAAGAAGTAGAATATTAAGTAGTAACTGTTTTTCACAGAGAATAACTACTTTCATTTCTCACTGTGTTCAAAATTACATATATACCTTGATAGACTGAAAGACAACCTATTATGCCTCTTTTTATTTATTTATTTATTTATTTATTATTAGGATTTGGGTGAAGAACTACAGAGTAAATTCACTTTTCATACAGCAGTTCACATATACTTTGTCTCATGTCATTGACCAAAATTTACAATGCAGCAGCTCCCCTCCCACTTCCTGCCCATAGTTACCTCCTCCCAGTGTCCATCCCTTCATACTCTTCTGCACCCTGAGCTATCTCCCTGTGCATAAACAGCCCTTCCTTCTCCCATGATTGTTCTCTCCAGGGTGTGTGTCTACTTGAGGTAAATGTTTAACTCACATGCCTATACTTTGTTTGGCTGGAAACCACAGTTGTGGGTTCAATTCCAGACCTGAAGCTATTATGCCTCTTTTTAGTATTACAATAAAATTGTCTTAAATTCCTGAAATTTCCCCCTTAAAATATTTCAGTTTGCTTTAGGCAGTTAACTCTTTTTGCATAATAAATCAGTATCATTGCATTAATAGGTGAGACTATGATAGAATTTTATGTGCTCATTAATAGGTTCTGTTATACCACTGTTTTATTATTGTTGTTTGCTGCAGATTTATTTATTACAACAATTTTGTGAAACCTCTTGGACTCTGGACACACTATAAATTTCTTACAAAGGCAGCAATGGGTCCCCCAGCTTCATTCTATGTACTTGATCAGGACTTTACATCTTCCCAAGTGAATCACTGTCATAAAAAAAATCTGAGTAATAGTGCCTTCTAAGTTTCTGGGACGGCCAGACATATCTCTGAGCATGTCGTTTGTATTTAGCATGAGTTCCTTTGCATTAGCTTTTTTTCTGGAGGTGATGGATTTGAAAAGCATTTTGTAAATTGCCAAATGCTGTGTCAGTGTTGCTGTACTATAACCCATGGCTATGACGGCCTGTTCCCCTTTGCTTTGGTTGGTAGACTTCACAACACCGTAGGTCAATATCATGAGGCAAGGCAACATTTTTTCAGTGAAAAAGGTCTTCTCTTCTCCTCTTAGCTCCCCATAGTTATCATTTAGGAAACAGCCTTAGGTTCTGATTAAAGGTCTGTAGCATAAATCTGTTCCTGTTGATCTGTTTAGCGTGTTTGTGTGTTTTATATTTCTCAGTGTTTTGTCATTTTTTATGAAATCCCAAAATGATTGGGACCTAGTATTCGAGATTTTGTTAGATTGTGCCTTCCTGTCATTCTTCGATCTCTACAGTTCTTAGTATCTTATTGTAGTACTGGCATCTTGGTTTTCCAGGGATCTCTGTGCTATCCATAAACATATGAACTTGGGAGATTATATGTATATATATTTGTATGGTGAGGGAATTAGAGGTTTGTGCAGTTCTGGAGGGAAGAAGGAGGAAGGTTGGGCAATCTACTTCCATAGTGATACCACCTCAGAAACCCAAGGAGGGGTATGTGTCAGATCCAACTCGGTGGCAGTGAGTTTTTTTGTTTTTTTGTTGGAGAGAAAAAGGGAAACCATAATAGTGCATAATTAGTAGCTAAATGCTTTTTAAGAGTAAGAGTGATAATGCTCTCACTGGCAATTCCTTGTAGTGTATAGGTTTCCCAAATCCATTTCAGGGTTTAACTTCACCCCTGCCTATTAAAACACTTTCAAGACTGAGTTATTTTTTGCTTTGAACTTTTTGTTAAACCATGTGTTTTCAATAATGGAGGACATTTTGAATGAAACAAAAAAAAATTGGGGGCATATTAATGGATTTTGATACAATTAGTGAGAAACAGCTAGCTGGCCAACTGACTGGAAGAGATCCATATTTGTGCCCATTCCAAAGAAAGGTGATCCCACAGAATGTGGAAATTATAGAACAATATCATTAATATCACATGTAAGTAAGATCTTACTGAAGATAATTCAGAAACGTTTGCAGCAGT